TGAATCAAATAATATTTATTGGAGTCCATTAAATAGTATTTTTTTCATTGTATACTTGAAATCTAAAAGAAAACGAAAGGAAAAAATTGTTAGGAAAAAATGTGACTTTACCCCAAAAAAATAATGACATGAGAGTCCCTCTCCCTATTGAACAAAAAAACATCTTCTTCCCCCTATATATTTGAAAGTTTGAATGAAAAAAGTAAATTTAAAACCCTATGATGTAAGTTATCTTGAAATCTCACTTCGATCTAATTAACCAAGGACTATAGAGCGCCCAAGAGTGTGATACCAAGGCAGTGTCACCTCCTTTCAATCCCTTCGACGAAGTAACGAGAAACGCTCTTCGTATAATCTTATGTAAATCGTACGTCACACCCTTATGCTCACACGCCCTTATATAGAAGCAGCAGCAGCAGCAGCAGCAGCACGCAGCAGTGGCAAGGTTATAGAAACGCAAGAACTTGGCTTTCTGGGTTCGGGTTACGCCCGCGGAGTAGTGTAGGGGACACATGGATGATTCCAGGAGAGTAGACGGGGGCTTATATGAATGTTAAAATAAGTTTGAAATTGTCGCGGACAAGTTCAGTCCTTTGGGACTAGACCCGGACGAGTAATTCCGCAACACCGGCAGTTTCGGCCTTTCGACGAGCCAACGCCTCCGATTTGAACCGCACACTAACACTAACACTAACACATACAAAATACATTCTCAATGATTTCATTTTGTCAAAATATATATTCAAAAACTTTCACACGGAAAAATCAAGCGCGGCAAAACTTTAATGTTTTCTCTATACATCAAAATATCTCTCTGGATGTTGAATATTTTTATTTTTCTCTATTGCTGTGTATATAGAAATTCCCTTTCCCTGCTTTCCCCATGTGAAACAAGTTCAATTGCCAAATTTTAGAAAAAATAAAAAATAAACGTTTTTTGCATGACAGAAAAAATAAAGTCTGAATGATTTTACCTACTCTCTAAATTGGCGAAATTTCGATGATTTCTAGCGATAAGTGTAAGGGAACATAGTCAAGGTCGGACCCTTGATATTTTTTAAATAAAAATACTAGCGCTACCTATGCGCGGACGTGACAAAGCATTCTACTGAGAAAACAATATATTTCAATCAAACATAATTATTTTTGTTATAAAGTAAACCAATAATTATTTTTGAACTAGCGCGCGGCTAACTTTTTTATGATAAAATTAACCATTTTAAATATAATAGAATTTAAAAATTTGTAATTCAAATTTTTATTGAAAACACTAAAAAAATCCAATTTTAAAAAATTACAAATAATGCCAGAAATTCAATTATTCTCATGAGTGATAAAATTCTTCTTATAAAATTCAATTATCTTTCAAATTTAAAAAAAAAATTCTCGTCAAAATCCCAAATATCTTTAAAAATAACAAAATTCTTCTCCAAAAGTCCAATTATTTTCAAATCAATTTCAAATTCCCAAAAATAGTACGCAAATATTTAATTATTTTCATATAAAAATTTCTCAGGAATTCAATTATTTACAAATTTTTTATAAATTCCTTCGCCATAATTCAATTATTTTTATAAATAATAAAATTTTTTCAATTATTTTTATAAAAAATAATTCAAAATTGTAAAAAATAATAATTGATTTAAAATGATGAAAATAGTTTTTAAAAAGTTACTCTGTAATAATATTCTTATAATATAAAACAATGATTTTATCACTCGATCATCTTTAATTAGGTATTAAAAAACATGAAGAAATCAATCGCTTTGAGTGATTATTTTCATTATTTTTTTATTATTTCAATTCAATTATTATTATCTAGCTTTCTTAACATTTTAATTAAAATTCTTCTTTAAATCAATTATTTTTAATAATTTTTGCAAAAGTTCTTTGTGAATTTTCAAATCAATTTATTTATAATTCAGTTTTATGTGAAATTTCAATTATTCGGAAATTCTTCAATTAAATGTATTAGAAAATAAAAATTCAAATAATTTCAAAAAAATTTGAATTAAAATTTTTCAAAAAAATTAAATTCGACAAAATTGTTTATTAACCCCTTAACTGTTTGAGGAAAATACAACATGATTGTCCCAAACTGCCCAGCGGAATCTGATACTTTTTCAAATAGTATAATATAATTAAATTATAACTAATTATTCAATTATTTTCTAAAATATCATTAATGACCCTTATAATTTCTTATAATATTGATATAAAGAAAAATATCTATCAATTTATATACAAATTATATTTATTTTGAGTGATAGTGAACACGACCCACGGGTGGGTCGGAAACAGTTATGGCCATACTTTTTCACGACCCACCCGTGGCCGTGGGTCGGAAACAGGCAACGGGTTAAAAGTATGAAAAGTTTTGATTTTCAAAAGATTTTAATTTTAAATTTTATTTTATTTTATTTTATTTTATTTTATTTTAATTTAATTTAATTTTAATTTAATTTTTAATTTAATTTAATTTAATTTAATTTTAAGAAATGCTAGTATTTGTAACTTCTTTAAAATCCAATTCCTTTTTAGTTTTCAACTAAAATTCTTCTCGAAATCAATTATTTTTAATAATTAAATATGTAAATACTGAAAAATTCAATTAATTTCAAAAAAATTTGCATTAAAAATTTTTCATTAAATCCATTCAAAATTCAAATTTTTTAAAATTGAAATTGAAATCTTTTGAAATCCAATGCACTTTGAAATTTTAAATAATACCTAAATTATTATCTAAAATAGAAAAAATTAAAGGTTTTGCATTAAAATTCTTGGTAATTTCAAAGTTTTAAGGCAAACAAAAAAAAAAACAAAAATTCCAAATTTTGATATGAATTCTATAAAAATTTAATTTTTCCACTACTTTTAATAAAACTCTCTCATTTCCCTCACATGTGGCAAATTGTTAGTTAAAACTTAAAAGTATAAAAAATTCAGATTTTCAAAGATTTTAATTTGAAAATTTTTCAAAATTCAATTATTTCTAAAAATTTATGCTATAATACTTTTAATTTTCAATTATTTTCTAAAATTTTAACTGAAGTGCATTTTAAATCAACTTTTATTAGAAAATTCTACGAGAATTCAATTATTTAAATGAAAAATAAATAATTTATTGAATGAAATTGATTCTATTTCAAAATTGAATTCTCATAAAGAATATTATAAACATATTTTTAAAAAGGAATTAAATTCTGTCCATGAATTTTAATAAAAAATTTTAAGAATAATTTCATTTTTTGAGGAATTCAATTGAAATTGGATTAAAAATAATCGAAATTCTGTGATGAGTTCTATTATTTATGAAAATAATTGAATTCCTAAAAAGAATTTTTTTCTTTACGAAAATAATTGAATTATTAAAAAATAATTGAATCCCTGTTATAAATTTTATAATTTATGAAAAATAAATTATAACATTTTTAACAGGGATTCAATTACTTTCGTCAATAATAAAATTGAGTTAATAAAATTTAATAATTGAATTATTGCAAAGAAATTTATAAAAAAAAATTGTAAATAATTGAATTACTGTGAAATTTTTATTTTTGAAAAATTAAATATTTGCATAGAATTTTATCAAACTTTTTAAAAAATTGAATTTCGAAGAAGAATTTTATTATTTATAAAAATAATTGAAATTTTGACAAGGATTATTTTTAAATTCTTGAACATAATTGAATATCTGCAAAGAATTTTATTTCTTTTGAAAATAATTAAATTTTTTCGCTTAATTTCGTTTATGAGAGAATTTTCATGACCTCTAGGCGGCAATTTAATGAACTATATTGGCGCGAAATTTAAAAAAAGAGAAATTTAATTAATATCAAATATATTATAATTAGGTTGTAGTGGGTGAAAATAAATGTGGCTACAGTGAAAATTAATGTCACTCGATGAAAGTTTCGTATATGTAAGAACGAAACTTTTGAAAATCTGGAGTTCCGCCTTCAGTTAAAGTTTGATTTTGTTGAAGAAGGGGTCGCGGAATTTGTCGGCAGTTTGGCGTTTTGGGTAAATGTGATGTGATGCAAGTAATTGAGTGGCTAATTGAATGAGGTGTCTCTCAGGAGTTTCCAATTCTCGCCATGTCACACGTCAGAACTATGTTGCGTTTTCGGCGCGCTCCAGAGACAATAAGACAAACTCCAGTTTACCGATTATTATCACTCGTCGCATGCATTATCATTCATCGCAAGCATATAAATTATTTTCCCAAAATAATTACATTACTTATTAACTTTTTTCAAATTTACCACAAGAAATTTAATTTTTACCAAATTTCCAAAAATAAAATTCCCCCCTCCCCCCTAATAACAGGAATAAAAATTCAAAAAAAAATTCGTAAGTCGAATTTATTTTTCTGAAAATCATTATTCATAAATAAATTACAAAAAAAATCCCTACAAATTTAATTATTCGAAATAAATTCAATTGACTATTCTCGAAAGTTTAATTAATTCTAGACATGAAAAAAAAATTCAAGCAGAAATAGTTTCAAACCCTTTAAATCGAAAATAGAAGTGACAAATTTATTCTTTCCTAATTCAAATCAAATGAATAGTGATTTAACTTGACAGTTTGTATGTCATTATAATAATCTTTCTCTGTAATAAAAAAAAACTCTGTGGGAATAATTTTGAAGGGAGAAAATCCATTAGTCAAGCATACTTGAATCCGCCGATGATTGGCGTGAAAAACTTTGATAATTTATCATCACTCTCCTGACCCATTTCTAACGAGGAAATAAAAATATTCCATCGAATCGAAATAAAAAATAATTTTACATAATAATAAAAAATTTTTTTAATGTCCGAAATTGTACTAAAATTATTCACCAGACGAGTCAATGTACACACGTTTCAATAGATAAGATAAATTCCAAATTCTACACACAAACAAAACAGTTATCTTAAAATTATTTTATCGAACTCTGACACTGGTAAATGATTATATATTAAATATTTCCAGCGTCAGTTTTGTGGAAACATTCCTTTTGAAACGAGCAATCTTTTTGTTGTTGTTTATAAACAAAAAGCGTAAAAATTATTATTTATCAAATTTTTACTCTCAAAAATGAAATATTCGCAGTTTTTGTTTATTTGCCTTTTTTACTGCTTATCGATAAATTGTGAGCAATTGGTGAAAATAGAACAAGGATTAATTGAGGGAACTACAATGAAAACACGAAATGGCAGGGAAATTTCAATTTTTCTTGGAATACCCTACGCGGAACCTCCGATTGGCGCGCGGAGGTAATTAACAATTAATCGTATTTGTTTATGTACTTAAAAAAGGTGAAAAAAATTTTTTGCTTTTACTCACGTCTAAATATTCCATGGAAGTACCCTTCTGCAAATTCCATGAAACTTCTCCATAGTATTACCGAGTTTGCGGGAAAATGCTCATCTGTAATAAAAAAAGCCCAAATTTGATATTCAATTTCAAAAATTGTTAGAAAAAATTGTCAAGATATTATTAATTAATTATTAAGATATTATTAATTTTTATTTTCTTATATTATATTCAATTGAAGTTCTGAGCAACTCCTTGTTTCGGAAGAATTAGTTCTTCATTAAAAAAAAGTTGAAATTTGATATTCGACTCCAAAAATTGTAAAAATCATAATAGAAATGTTAAAAAATTATTAAAATAAAAAACTTGCATAATTTTCATGGAATTTCCTTGGGATTTTCCAAAGTGGGTAATTTTTCAAAATATTTGAAAAAAAAAATTGTGTTCACTTGAACGTTCGAAAGTTTAGTATAACAATTTCTTAGGTTCAGTAATCCTATTCCAGCGAGAAAATGGAATGGAATTCGTTTAGCGAACAGAGAAGGAAATTTTTGTCCTCAAATTGAAATTAATGGTTTAATTGGCGAAGAAGATTGTCTATATTTAAATGTTTTTACACCACAAGTTAATTTTAATAAATCCAAGGTACGTTTGTGCAAAATAAATTAAATAACCACTGAATAATGGTTTCACTAAAGCCTTAGTAAAAAAAATTAAAACTGCTAAAGAAAATAGTAATTAATAAAATAAGACTGATAAAAAAATATTTCCACAAAAATGTAAAGTATTGCGGCTTTTTCACTAATTCCGATTTAGAATATAAAAATGCAATGAAAATATGAATGTACTAAATTAAACGATACGTGGATTTTTAAATGTTTTGTAGCAAATAAATAAAAATGATTTATTGCCAGTGATGGTAAGAATTCATGGGGGAGGATTTCTGGTTGGAAGCAGTAATTTCACGTACTATGGTCCAAATTATCTTCTAGACAAGGAGATTATTCTTGTATCAATCAATTACCGTTTAGGAATTTTAGGATTCTTCGCCACTAAAGACTCAGTAGTCCCTGGAAATTTTGGCTTAAAAGATCAAGTACTGGCTCTCAAATGGATTAAAAGGAACATTAAATATTTCGGTGGTGATCCAAAGAGAGTTACATTATTCGGAGAAAGCGCCGGTGGTGCTTGTGTCGGTTTCCATGCAATTTCCGATGCATCCAATGGTAAGAATTCCATCAAAAAACCATTTCCAAAAAATCCACTTCTTACTTTTGTTCCAAAATTTTTTACTCCAACAATTTTGTTATCAGGGTTGCCACAAAAATTTAATTTTCTCTTCCCTCACTTTTTATATTTTTTATTTATTTATACACTCGTCTTTTTGCCTCAATACTAGCGTTTACAATTGTACATAATTTAATTAATTACCAATTATTATTTATTAATTACTTTAATTTTTACTGCATAACTATAGGATTATTTCATCAATACATTTTCCAAAGTGGAAGTGTTTTGGGTCCATGGGCATTTCGTAGCAGGAGGAATTTAAACCCTTACGTAAAACAACTCATTAAGAATGTTAACTGTCCAGACGGAAATTCGACAATAATTCTGAATTGTCTACGAGAGAAAAGTATTTTTAAATTATTGAATGCCGTGCCTTATGATGGATTTAATTTTTCAAAATTAGCATGGATTCCTACTGATGAAATAGAATCGAAAGACGCTTTTATAACCGATACTCCAATGAATCTTATCAGGCAAAATAAAATTAAAGACTATCCATCGATGAGCGGTAATGTAGGTGACGAAGGTTTACCAGTTACATTATGTAAGTTTAATTTTCCTATTTATTTGAACCAAAAATATTTTGTTTAAAGTGTATTTAGAATTTCTTTGCTATAAATAGTGTTTATTTAATTTTTTTATGTTATTATTTATCTATTTATTTGTCCTAGCTTTTTATGCAAATGGAAAAGATTACCAATCAATGTTACTAGCACTGGAAACATATATCAACTCCACTGCCTATCATTACACAAAATCGAACAATATTGAAAAATTTAGGAAAATTATCCAAAATTTCTATTTTAACGAATCGGTGTTAGCCGATAAAGATCAGGTATATTTTCCCCTCTTCGCACTTGACAGAAAATATTTTTCTAACTTATCAAAAATTAAATCGTTAAAAAATATTTATAAATAATTTCTAATTATAAACATACTATTTTTAGATTCGAACAAGTTTTACGAAATTTGTCTCCGATTGTAGATTCAACTATCCCCAAGTGATGCTCCTGGAAAATATGAAAAAACTTATAAAAAGTCCATTTTATCTGTATTTATTTAACTACCGCGGTAACGAAAGTGTAGTTTCTCTGGAAAATGGCATAAAGGGAAATGTTGGCGTAACGCACGGAGAAGAACTTTTGTATCATTTCCCTAAAGTTCCATTAAGTGACGCAACAAAAGTAGATCAACGAATGATAGACATAATGGTCGATTTATGGACATCATTTGCAATTAACGGGTAATTATTTTTAAAATTTTACATAAACCAAAAATTTCTATTTTCAACAAAGTATTTTTTTTTTTGCACAGTGAACCGAAATCGAATCTCTTAACTGCCTCGGATCTTTGGCAGCCATATATGCGAAATGCAACTTTTCTTCAGATTGGAAATCCTACAAACAACAACGATCCGTCAATTAGTCTAAATCACGATTTTTTTAACGATCGTATGAATTTTTGGAAAGAGAATTTTCCATCCAGTCAATTTTCAATCTAAATGTTTGTTTCGTTTGTACTCTTAGAATTAATTTATAAAAATCAATTAAAATAAATTATCCCATGCAGAAATTGAGATTGGAATTTTATGGGGTCCTAGCCAGAATTCCCTATCTGTAGTGGGGAACTGATTAGAGAAAATCGTTAGAACCCAACTACTTTCATAACGGTCGGCAGATGGGGTATAGACTAGAATATCTAGTCGGGAACTAGTATTAAAACTAGCTGTGTGTTGATAGGGCCCCGACTAGAATTTTCTAGTTGACTTTTAAAAATTATTATTTTTCAACTTAACCTATTTATAATTAAATTCTTCATTCATATTAACATTATTAATGAATGTTGTACACGAAAAACCTGAAACTTGAGTTGAAAAATCTCGTGCCCATGGGGGATCGAACCTTGGACCTTGGGGACTCCAGTCGGATACACATACCTCCCGGCCGTGATAGCTTGGAAGCACCTCCGCTTAAATAACATCCCGTGCAGCAATTCACCATTTGCCCCTATCTCTAGTAGGGCTCTCGCTAGATTCTAACTAGAATCTCTAGTCTAGAAAAACTAGTCGGGTTCCAATCAAATTCTAGTTAAATAATTTTTACCAGCATTATTTTTTAAAAAATTTTGCATACTATTTAATTATTTCATTTTTTAACATATTTGAAACCCAATTTTTAATATTGTAGAACATTCTTACATAAAATTCCAATAAAACAATTTTATTAAATAAAAATCTTTTATTTAATAAGTAAATTAAAAGAATAAGACACAAATAAATATTAATTATGTGAGTATAATTAATTTTTATTACCTAAATATTGTAATATTATCCGTAAAAATAATTATTTAAAAATATATGTAAGTGCAATTATACTTTAAAATGTTTTTGACAATTCATAAAAATATTTATTTATAGAAAGACAATTTATGTATATTACTTGTACACTAGTTTGTCGCTAGTTGGAAATCAATAAGGTCCTAGTGAGTTTTTCTAGTCTGAATTATCTAATAATTTCAATTAATAATAATTCTTTATAATCTAATAATAATTTAAATTAAAAAATTATAAAGTTATTAAATTATTTAAATTATTAAAATAATAAATAATAATATCAATTAATAATAATTCTTTATAAAACAAAATTAGTAATAATAATTCTTTAACTAGAATTTGATTGGAAACCGATTAGTTTTTGTAGACTAGAGATTCTAGTCAGAATCTAGCGAGGTTCTAGACAGATTTTTCTAGAGTAGATTTTCTAGGATGGTTCTAATCAGAATCCAACATTTGGTAGGGACAAGTAGGGAAATTTCTACATGGGATAAATTATAAAATAAACTTTGATTTTTCCTGACTTTTCACTGATTTACAGACAAAATTTTAAATTTTTTTAATTGTAAAATTATTCGAAAACATCACTAATTTCTTTTTTAAAAAATATTTAATTATTATTATTATTCCATAGGTACAAATTAAAATTCTTCAAAATCAAAACATTCAAATTCAAACCTTTTTGAAATTCAACAACTTATAAGAATATTATATTATAAAACATGAAGATATCGATCTCTTTTCAAATATTTATTTATTTTTAATACAATTTTAAGTAAATTCTTCGAAAAATGTAATTTTTTTCAAAAATATTATTAAAATTCTTCAGAAGAATTCAATTATCAATTATTTTTAATATTTTTTGCAAAAGTTCCTTAAGAATATTCAAATCCATTTATATTTACAATTCAATATTACAAAATGATGTTTCAGAAATTCTCCAATTATTTAAAAAATAATGATTTTCAATGATTTCAATTTGAAAGTTTTTCAAAATTCAATTATTATCTAAAATTTTAACTAAAATTCATTTTTAAATACAATTAATTCTATCTCAAGAATTGAATTCTCATTTAAAGAATGTTACCAACAAACTTTTGAATAATTTAATTTTTTCGACGAATTTCAATAAAATTTTCAAGAATAATTACATTTTTCGAGGAATTCGATTAAAATTGTATTAAAAATAATTGAAATTCTATGATGAGTTTTATTATTCCTGAAAATAATTGAATCTCTGTACAAAATTTTATTATTTATGCAAATAATTGAATTATTACAAAAACTTTATAAAATACTTGTAAATAATTAAATTTCTGTGGAATTATTATTATTTATAAAAATAATTAAATATTTGCGTAGAATTTTTTTAAAATTTTATTAAAATACTAGCAACAATTAAGATAAAATTAGCAATTTTAACAATAATAGAATTTAAAAATTTTCTAATTCAAATTTTAGTTAAAAACACTGAAAAAATCCAATTTGGGAAAAATTGCAAATAATATTGAAATTCAATTATTTTCAAGAGTGATAAAATTCTTCTCATAAAATCCAATTATCTTTTAAATTTAAAAAAAATTCTCGTACAAATCCCAATTATCTTTATAAATAACAAAATTCTTCCCCAAAGTTCAATTATTTTCAAATCAATTTCAAATTCCAAAAAAACGTACCCAAACATTTAATTATTTTCATATAAAAATTTCTCAGGAATTCAATTATTTACAAGTTTTTTATAAATTCCTTCGCAATAATTCAATTATTTTCATAAATAATAATAATTTTTTTAAGTAATTCAATTATTTTTTTAAAAAATAATTAAAAATTGTAGAAAATAATAATTGATTTGAAATGATGAAAATAATTTTGAAAAAGTTACTGTAATAATATTCTTATAAAAACAATGATTTTATTACTCGGTCATGGAAAAATAATATTGATTAAATATTTATTTTAAAAAAAAGTTATTGATATTTTCGAATAATTTTACAATTCAATAAATAGTACACCCAGAAAAAAATATATTTGATTCAGAACCAAATAGACTTTTCATTTATTTTAAATAAATTTTATTTGGTTCAAATATATGCTTTATTTTTGTCGAATAAAATTTTTATGGAAAACAAATAAAAAGTCTAGTTGGTTCTGAGAAAAATATTCATTTATGTAACTAAAATAAAATAAATTTAGTTTAAATAAAATTTTTCTCTGTTTGTATAATGTAATAGATAGCTGTATAATAATATTAGCTTGTAAATTGTAATATAGTGAAATTTTGATGTATATAATTGATTTGCAATTCTAAATTGCCAATTGACTGTGATTCAAATAAATGAAATAAATAAAGAAACTACAGATAAAAGAGGAAGGATTTCTCGTGATTCTCGTGAAATGTCGCCTTAAACGAATTCAGCCATGAGGAAAAGCTAAGAAGATGGTTCCACCAAGGAGTAGCAAGGTATTGCGGAACAGTGAAGAGGGAATTGGATGTTTAAGCATTCTTGGTGCGAAGGCAATCGCAGGGTTGGTGGATGTGTTGGCAGAAGTGGTGGATGCCGGTGAGAAACAGACAAGAGAACAATTACGCGCCGTCAGCCCCGTGACCGGTAGGGTGCTGCGAGAGGTGAATCAAAACTAGGTACACGTTCATCCTCCCCCAGGAATAGATTCGAATCTCAATCGGTAAGCACAACGATACGTCGTTCTCTGCATTTCAAAGACAAATTAATACGATTTACAAGTCATGCGCGCCTTGCCAGTCATTATTTTTCTTTTTTTTTTTTTGCTATCACATCTCGTACACCAGAAAATTTTTTTCTTTTTAGAAAAAATAAATTAGACATAAAAAATCTTTTTTGTTTTTTGTCTTTTGTTTTTTGTTAACTTTAGATAGATTGTATATTATATAATTATGTTATAATTATTTTTATTTTATAATTAATTCAAAATTGTAATGACAAATAGAAATCATCAGAATTTTTTTTCAATTCTTTTTATTAAAAGACTAAAATTTTGTTAAATATTATATTTTTTCAAATTGAAATTATGCAGATTTTTGTTCTTTACTTCTAAACAAAATTAGAAAATTGTTAAACAAACTGTGATTAAGAAATAGAAAATTTATTTATTTTGCATTATTCTTGTTTATGAATCACAATTTTTTTAACAAAATTATTATTTTGTTTTGGAAAAAGAAGAAAAATATTTGCACAATTCCTATTTTTAATCTTATTTTTGGATCAGGATTTTCCACAGGAATTAAGACATTCAAAACATTCAAAACATTCAAATTCAAACCTTTTTTAAATTAAACAACTTATAAAAGTATTGTTATAAAACATGAAGATATCGATTGCTCCGAGTCGAAGACTCGGAGTGATCGATTTCTTCATGTTTTCTAATAATTAAAGATGGTCGAGAGATAAAATCATTATTTTATATTATAAGAATATTCTTACTGTAACTTCATCAAAATTAAATCATCATTTTAATTCAATTATTATTTTCTAGAATTTTAAATTATTTTTTATGAAAATAATTGAATTCCTTAAAAAAATGTATTATTCGTAAAATCCGTAATTTGATTGAAAAAGGACGAAAAGTTTGCAAATTGTACGTTATTTAAAAAAATTATTTATAAAATTTTACGCAAACATTTAATTATTTTCTAAAAATTTCAAAAAATTCAATTATTTACAAGTTTTTTAATTAAATTATATTTGCAATATAATTTAATTCTTTCATAAATAATAAAAACGTCACAGAAATTCAATTATTTTTCTAAATAATAAAATTCTTTTTAGGAATTCAATTACTGTCATAAATAATAAAAACTCATCGCAGAATTTCAATTATTTTTTTTCAAATTTTAATCAAATTTCTCGATAAATGTAATTATTATTAAAAATTTTTTTAAAACTCGTCAAACGAATTCAATTATTTAAAAATTTGTTGATAGAATTCTTTATGAGAATTCAATTTTAAGAAACATTCAAATATACAATAAATTACTTTTTTGTATTTAAATTATTGAATTCTAGTAGAATTTTATAATAAAAATTGATTAAAAAATGAATTTCAGTTAAAAATTAAATAAATTTGAAAATTCTCATAAAACTATTTCAAAAATTAATAAAAATAATGGATTTATAGAAAAATTTTAGTTAACAGTAAAAAATATTTAATTTTGGAAAAGTTACAAATTATTGCAGAAATTCAATTGTTTTCAAAAGTAATAAAATCCTTCGCAGAAATTTAATTATGTTAAAAAATAGTAAAATTCTTCTTAGAAATTTAATTATTTTCATAAATAATAAAACTCAATGCAGAATTTAAATTATTTTAAATTTTTAATACAATTGAGCTCCCGCGGGCAATAACTCGATCTGCGCTCGGACGCAAGCGCTAGTACCAGTCGGGGAGCAGTGAGCGCCTCTGCGCCACTCACTGCCACCCGACTGGTATTAGAGAGTGCGTCCGAGCGCAGATCGAGTTATTGTCCGCGGGAGCTCAATTTTAATCGAATTTTTCGGAAAATGTAATTATTCTTAAAAATTTTATTAAAAATTGTCGAAAGAATTCAATTATTTAAAAATATGTTGGTAAAATTCTTTTTGAGAATTTTGAATTTTGAGAAACATTCAATTATTCAATAAATTATTTATTTCTTTAGTAAAATAATTGAATTTTCGTAGAATTTTCTAAAATAAAAATTTATTTAAAAACGAATTTCAGTTAAAATTTTAGATAATAATTGAATTTTGGAGAAGTTATACTAATAATTACAATTTT